AGGGCATCACATGAAAAAAGGTTAACACAAGTTACAAGTGATTTTCAATGTTTTATTCAATAGTGTCATTTCCAAACTAGTGATGATTCCCTTTAAATATCGCAGATGGATGAAATCTTAATTTCGAGATAAGCTGAATATTGTCTTCAATGTTACTGTTTATATGATAGCTTTGGCAAGCCATCTCTCAGATCACCACAACTCACTGCTTAGTGAATAGATTCCCATAGTCTAGACACTGTATAAAACCAGTGAACAATCGTGTATGTAATGGCAGTTGGTTTTTAAAGAATATATAGTATTTTCAAAAGAACTCTGTGGATCAGTGATAATTATTCCTCATTCAAAACAAGCAAAAATGTATATCTCTATGCATTTTCAGGAAAATAAATTATTGTAAACTGATTTAGGGAATGTGGGGGGAGGCATTAAATAGTTTGGACACTGAACATTTATATCATATTTCAAGAAAGAGTAATTGGTTTCTCTAAAAAATACAGGTGAACACTCTAAAATGTAAACTCCACAGACAGCATAAAATGGCACACAGATGATTTCATATTCATTAAGGTAATTTAGCAGTAACTGATATTCATCCAGTGACGTCACTAGGGTTTGTGTCACTCTGTGTGCTAACTCATGGTGTCACCACCCTCCTCACATACCAGGCCATACTTTAAATCAAACGGTTTGTAATATATTGTTTCATTATATTACTGTATCTTTCTTTAAGGGATAGACATAGATTTGACACATGCTCTCACTTACATAGACACACAGGCACATGCACAAGCACACACACAGACTTTCATTGACACACACACGTACTCTCTCTCACTAACACACACACTTTATTTATGTAACAGTTCTTATATAGCACTTGTATCTAGAGCGTTTTACAATGTTTTAAAAAAAATAACATTGGTAATCATACAAGCAGGTGATAGATATTTAGACACACACAGACACTTTCACTGACATATGCATATAATGTCACTTACACACTCTCACTCCAGTTAATACATAGTCACAAATGTATTTATACACACAGAAATGCACACAAGCCAATTTACCTACACTAAATAATAACAATCCCCTTATCTTCCTGAGTTCTTTTTTTTTGTTAGATGTGACTGGAGGAGGAGGGGATCGGTTTAGGGAAGGGGACAGTCGGGATACCAGGTCATTTCCCAGCATCCCCTGCCTGCAACAAGCGTTGGCTTATGCTTAGATGCTGGGGTTGTCGCTGATTGATGGCAGAGGGGGAGAAGAGGTCCAGCAGGGGAAATCACTAGCATGTGTACATGCATCTAGAGGCTCTCGTTTGTGTTTATATAAGTGCTGTTTTGTGTGTGTGTCTAGGGGCTGTAGAGAGAGAATGACTGTGTGTGTTTAGAAGATGCAGTGTAATATTTGTCTATAGGGTACAGTGTGTGTCTTGAAGGTGTAATGGCAGTTGAGTCTGTACCTCTCATTTAACCCCTTAAGGACACATGACATGTGTGACATGTCATGATTCCCTTTTATTCCAGAAGTTTGGGCCTTAAGGGGTTAAACTATTACATGGATAGCATGCAATGTTACACATTTAAATGCAAAACATATACAGATTTACAAATCAAAAATTTCAAACTCAGTGTTTAGGGGATATACCCCACCAATATACACAAAGTATGAGTGCAGTGATAATATTTCAATAATAACACTTACCCCTTAATATATATACCGGGGGGCAGCATATAGACAAATATATAAAATAATGAAAAGCAAAAAAATTATTGTGCAATTCTGTTTTACAAATATATATTGATATCAAGGTGAGTGAATAAAAACTCACATTTAAAAGAGCCTTTTAAAGAGACAAAGGCTCCAAAGGTGCAGACTTATGTGCCCAAAAGGTGGCAGCAATACCTGCATTTGTAGCGGTATATAAATCACATGCAGAGATTGATGAATAGTGAAATACAATGGAGAGATATGTGGTTCAATATGTTGAGTATACAAGCATTCAAATAGATATCCTCAAAAAAATCCTGCTCACTTTGTGTTTTGCGGTGGGGCTTATTAACTAAACACTGAGTTTGAAATGTTGTTATTGTAATTTTACTGCGTGATCTAAAGGAGTATCCTAGAGTGTTTTCAGCTGCTGTTATTTATACCAATATAGTATTCACATTAAGTGCCAACTTTCACACCTGTCTGTGTCAATAGATGATACAGCAGATTGTAAATTTGTGTAGGCAGGGACCTTTCACCTACTGTTCTTGTATGTCATACATATTTTATTAGAATTAAATGTTTGTCTTGCTTACCTATTGTTGGTGCTTAATAAATAATTGTAATGGTAAAACATCAATAATAGCAACTGGGGCTGCAGCTTTTGTTTTACATAATCAGAGCTATTGACTAAAGTGTGAAGAGTCAGGAACTCAAAGAGATTTTCACATGTATGGCCAAAACAGCAAAACAGACAGCATAGCAGGCTTGGAGAATTTACAGTTTGGCTATTTCACCCTAAATTTGAAATTCCCTTTGAATTCCCGACAAGTCACGCTTTAACGACTAATCCTCAGGGTTATTCAATAAAGTGAGAATTCAAAATGACATTTCAAATTTAAGGTGAAAATACCTGAACTTAAAAAAATTCTCCAAGTCAGCTATGCTTTGAATTCAGCTACTCTGGCCTTAACTTTGAAACGCACTTCAAATTCACTTTGAATTCTCACTTTAGTAAATATTACTGCATGAATGATAATGATTAGTGTGTGGCTTGTCACTGTTAGCAGTTGGGAAATGTCTCTATCACTAGATCATGAGTGACCTGCTGCTTTAAACACAATGGAGAAAGCTGCAGTCAGAATTCAATTTAAAGTTAACTAACATATCATCTAAAAATGACAAACCATACACAAATGACCACACACACCTCCTTTATCACTGTTTGCAGATAATATTTTTTTTTTGTTTTATAGGATGAAACATTACAATTTAGTTTGTGTGACATTCAGAAAAAAACAGAAAATATAATTTGAAAAATGCAATTTGAGAGTTATACTTTAATTTAAAACTAGCTCATCAATCTGTTAATTTGTTATTAAAAGAGAATTGTCTTTTGCAGAGTAGAGGCAGTTCCTTGATTCTTCACCCTAGTAAATAGTATTTCAGCACTTATTGGGGAAAACAAACAAAAAAAGGTAGAATAATCTATAGTCATCTTTTGGTGATTTTTGTTGTTGTTGTAATTTTGTAAAATTGTGTAATGACAAATCTTCTTTAAAAATGTGTTTTTTTTCTGTTTCAGTATAATAGTTTGGTATTTTTAATGTGCAGGGCATGTTCTACACATGCTTTGTGTAATAAGTTTAGGATCTTGACAGGAAAAAGAGCTTCTATTGGGAACACTGTCAATTCTTCAGTCGGTACATGAGTGGTAAACAGTTCTAACTAAATACTGCCTAGCATTGCTGCAGTTAGTACAAAGTGAATACAGTCTTAAAAAAATAAAAATTAAATAAAAACAAATTCAGGATCATGAGACCATTATCTGACACATTAATTCTACCTACTTAGGTGAAATAATTAAAATCATAATTCAGTTATTCGCTTAACCACAAGCCAAAATAGCCAAAGTGAAAACATTCTCCAACAGCTATTTTTTCAGCTCCACAACCTTGGCCTAAAGCACACGTTCTTGTCAATTCCTAACAATTTCCAGCATTTTGTAAAGTAGTAAACACGTTTAGAACTAGTGTTACAGAATACATACCGCAATGTTTTGTTTTTGTTTTTTTATGGCAAAGCCTAAATCGTTGTAAAAAAAGTTTAGCTCAAGATGCATTGCAGTTTTTTCATAAAATGTTCTGTTCATTTTGTTAGAAACTGATTGTGTTTTGATGGATTTTACATTTAAGAAGTAACATGTTCCAGATTCATAAATTCTGACTTATGTTCATGAGAAAGCACATGTTCTTAGAACACTTTTGGATAGAAGATCATATTTTCCTTAAACCAATCTTAATATTTGTCTTGGGGTATCTAGGACACAGATACTGCTGCTGAGTCAAGTTCACATCCATTAGGACTAGTGCTACATAGCTGTATGAAAGAGGTCCAATACATGTGTATGTGAGGAACCAAAACCACCAAAAAGGATAATAACTCCAATTAATTCTGCGCACACTGATAATTAATTACCAGATTCTCTATGGGATGTATATAAGTGGTGTAAAACAGAACAATTTTATTTGGTATCCAAATAATTTAAAAATTCACTTTGACGAAATAAAAAAAATGTCCTCACTGCAGATCTACATCTATTATCAGAAAGGTAATCACAAAATGGGCGTAAAATGTATTTATTTTATTGTAAATAATGTTTTTTTGGTTTGTTTGGTTTTAGTAGCAATGGATCAACAAGAAACCAAGCAATGAAACTAACTTTAAAAACAACTTTTTTAAAACAATAGCAATGTCCCCATAGGATGTCCTGCTTCCCACAACATGGAAGGGCCTCTCAGGCCGAGGGAGAGTTAAACATCACATCAGTGGTATAACTGCAGAATACCATGTAAAAAAAAAGATGTTAAGTCACAAATCAAGCAAAGCTTGCCTTAAACTCCATCTCCTTAAACTTTGTCAAGATTATCAAGTGTAGGACAAATACATAAGAACAAGTGGTCCCTACTTTGTCTTATGTTTTAAAGAGAGATAGATAATAAATTAAGACAAGAATAACAGATTCTGAGGGAAGAAGAAAAGGAGAAATGCTAGTTTGAGGTGGCAGAGCCACTTTGAGTAACTACAGAGAAGACCAATGATCCAAGTTCCCTTCCAAAAACTTTTTCGCCATTGGGCACACAGGATCCCAGTCCACTGCAAGGTAGTTAAAGGTAGATGCACGGTCTAGGACAGGCATAGGCAACCTTCGGCACTCCAGATGTTTTGGACTACACCTCTCATGATACTTTGTCAGCATTATGGGTGTAAGAGCAATATGGGCGATGTAGTCCACAACATCTGGAATGCCGAAGGTTGCCTATCCCTGGTCTAGGACATGGTTTGGCAACCTTTGGCACTCCAGATGTTGTGGACTATATCTTCCCTGATCTTCCCTTGCCAGCATTATGGTTGTATGAACATTATGGGAAATATAGTCCACAACATCTGGAGTGGCAAAGGTTGCCTACCAGCGGTCTAGGAGCTGTGCACCACAAATCCAGGCAATAAAACTAAAATGGCCAAGACACTACAATGATGAGGTCAGCATGCTCAGATCACATGCAGTAGGTTTAGGGTTGGTTCAATAGGCCTCTAGAGCAGACAGTAGTATGATTTCAGGAAAATATCAGCAAAAAATAGCATTGACTAATTCTCACTGGATAGACCCAGAAGGACAGTATATATACCTTGGCCACAATGGATGGGTTCCTCATGTGAGGTTTTATGGGTTTGGCAGATTGTCCCATAGACTGCGCACTGCTGGATCATATTGCATATTGCATGCTACAAAACATTTACTCTGCCTAGTAATCCAGAGCTAGCACTCTGAATTTCCAAACTCTGTCCACAAAGTTGGTTCATACATTCTGTAACGTCAGATACAAAGTTAGAATAAGACATTTTATGCAACTGTTCTAGCATTGAGGGGCTGCATCTTCCATTGCATATGTTTCTATTTTGTGGAATAAATTACACAGAAAAAAGTGCTAAAAAATAATTTGGATTGGGATAATGAGTACACTTCAATATATGTCTGATTTCAGTATTAATGGATATGATTTGACAGCTATTAGCTGTAAAAAAAATTATACAAGGTGTATTTGGTTTGAAAAATATATTAACACTATTCGGTGTCAAAGCATGAAATAAAATACTTCTGCAATAAAGTTGCTAAATGAATGTATTAATATGACCTGTTCATAAGCATCCATTGTTAACATTTGGATAGGTTCAGTGCATTAGAAAAATAGTAAAAGTATATGAATGCACTTTTCAAAAATTGTGCCTTTTTTCTTTGATAAACCATGTGAACTGAAACAGGAGATTGCAGTGTATAATAAATAGCAGGCCTTATCTCATCACAGATATACAAGTCTAATTGTCAGAAATGTCCATTCTTCACAGAAGCAAGCTCATATTTACAGTAAAATATCTAGCTTTTTTTCCGTGAGTTCCTTTGGGGTCTGCTATAAATTAGAATACAGTTTTCAAAGTTTGCTCTGACCACAGTGCTGTGTTTACATTACTCCCCAGGCAAGCCTGCGTACTCGTCATTTAAATCCTAAACATTTGGACGTAATTTGTTTATAGAAAGAATTGCAGGCTTCTCAGCTCCAGAATCTGACTTGGCAATTTGGGTTTCAAAAAAAGTGAGAGCACATTGCCCTCTAGTGTAAATTCAGAATAATTAGAAAAAAACAGGTCGACATTTAGGGTTTGTAGTAAATATTGACAGCGTATACTTTTAAAACCAGTCCAAAATAAATTCTAAGATAGCATGAAAAACAAAGACAATGTGAGATCATTTGTCTCTATGAAACCATTTAAATATTTGATCTAATCACAGAGACATAGGCTAAAGAAGACAGCCAACTCAACATTCCTAGGCTCTTCTTCACCAGTTCACTACACATTAGATTGTCATACTGCTTTTTTTAGGATAGGCAAAATTTTACAATGAAATGCAGGATAGTGTTTTACTGAAATGAAAAATGCCAACACTACTAGCACACATGCTTTTTATCTGGTTTCACAAGTTATTTTTTTTAAATACTAAAGTATCAAATTAAATAGGGCTATGCTAAAATTGTAACTGATGTACCAGCCATAAAAAGGTTATAGTTCAGAGCATTGCCATGGTAACCACAACAACGCTCTTAGCTTGCGAAATTTGGCAGATTGCAGGCTAGAGTTACCGCTTCCTCTTTCCCTCCCCTGCTGGCTGCCGGATTCCAGTGCCTCTGTGTCGGTGAAGTATATATTTGATCTCCCCACCAACCCGTCATGGCACATTTGGTAGTGCTGGCTCTGAATGGGCCAGCAGTTAGATCCTCTGATCTCTCCTATCGGTCTCGGCCCATGACCATCGCAGCCCACCCGGCATTTGCTGGCTCTGGGCCTGCATATAGTAATGCCTTTTAAATATGTTGTTGTAGGTCTACAATTCCAAAGAAAAAGGTGGGTGACTACATAATATGCCATACACAAAATGCCTCTTACCTTTCCCATCAATCCTTAGTTTGGAGGGAAGGAGCAGGAGCATTGTTCAACTGTGGATTCAACAACATATTGCATAAAGCAGGAGAAAGGGTGTGAGTCAGTCATTAAAATAGATTCTTGGCACCACACAAGAGATTACAGATTTTCTGAAGCTCACTAAACTACCAGCCTTGACATAACAACAAAAATCAACCATACAGGTGCCTAAATCGGCACATTAAATGCTACAAACTATTCACTCATTTCCTGCAGGAAAACCCCTTGGGCCAGACGGCCTTACAAATACATACATTCCTCACACGCCATCTAGAAATGGTATTCCACCAAATACTACGCACAATGCCACCAGAGATGCTTATGACACATGTTGCCACTCTCCTAAAGTCTGGAAAACCTCCTGCCAAAAGCCAAAACCTAAGACCAATATCCCTCCTAAACACAGATGTAAAACTAATAGCTGGGATCTTCTCCAATAGACTTGCACCGATAATCCCTTCTCTGATTCATGACGATCAGGTGGGATTTGTCAGCGGCAGACAGGGGGCGGTTGGCACAAGGAAGGTTTTGGACCTGATGCATGGGATGCGGGGAGGGCCCCTTGTGTACTGCTTCCATTGGATGCAGAAAAAACATTTGGTAGGCTGTACTGGCTCTTCCTCCTCACTGGCCTGCAAAAATTTGGATTTCCAACTACATTTCTATCCCTGATATCAGCGCTGTACTCTACACCAACTGACAGAGTAGTCAATGGGGGCTTCATATCAAAACACTTTACAATATCAAATGGTTTTAGGCAGGCTACCCACCGTACCCTCTACTCTACATCCTAACCTTGGAACCACTAACACAAATGATAAGAGACAATCCGAACATCCATGGCATTAATCTCCATGACTGCGAATATAAACTTTCATTATTCGCAGAGGATATCCTCCTAACATTAGAGCAATCACACATCACCCTACCAACCTTCCACCATATTCTCTCCCAATACAGCAAGTGCTTGTATTATAAACTTAATATTTTTAAAACACAAGCCCTAGACATCAATATCCCCAAGACAAACCATGAGACTCTCCAAAGAAACTTTAATTATGACTGGAGACATGACCATCTCATATTTTTGTGGATAAACATCACCCCCTCGATAGATAATCTATGAAAAACAAATTACCTAAAGCCACTACGGGAAATAAAAAACACCCTGCAAGGATGGAAGGGCAAACACATTTCGTGGTCAGGCAGGATCACAGCAGTGAAAATGATACTACCACCAAAATTCCAATACTTATTCAGAACACTGCCAATGAACATTCCTCTGACATTTTTCAAAGAGGCACAAAACAACCTTACACTCATTCATTTGGGATAACAGAAAACCTAGAGTAGCAAAATCAACAATGCACACACCATTCACCAAAGGTGAGATGGAGGTACCAGACTTATTGGGATACTACCAAGCAGCACACATAGGGCCTCTATTGGCGGCATTCCACCATGAGCGTCCATTACTATGGACAGTAATTGAAACTAATTACACCATGGCTAACCACGATTGCCCTCACGCTAAATACCTGGGACATTTTATGTAGCAAACTGGGCCTGTGGGGAAAAATGTACCTTGCTATCCTAATAAAAGCACTATTTATATTCATTCTCGATTTCAAATACAATATTTGGCAGCGATATGTATCAAAAAATTACATCAATTACTCAAAGGTCATGATATCATGGAATTCGCAGAACTGCAAAACACTTGTTTTTTTCTTTTTCTTTTTTTTTTCTTTGCAGTTTTTAAACATCACTCGCATGGGCGTCCACAGGTGGGAGGCAAGGGGGGGCACTTGCCCCCCCTGCATTTTTCAGCTTGTTCTGCTAATTTTCGTGTGAGATTGAAAATACAGTGCAATACCGGCGCTGTGTATGGAGAGAGACAGGGATAGGAAGCTACATCTTATCCCTGCTTCTCTCTGACTGAATCTGCAGGGGAGCAACACATGCAGCCAGCAGAGACAGCCTACAGATCAGGTAAGTGAGGCATGGGGGTAGATAGCTTACAGATCAGGTAAGTGAGGCATATGGGGGGCAGAGATAGCCTACAGATCAGGTAAGTGAGGCATATGGGGGGCAGAGATAGCCTACAGATCAGGTAAGTGAGGCATATGGGGGGCAGAGATAGCCTACAGATCAGGTAAGTGAGGCATGGGGGGGAGAGAGCCTACAGATCAGGTAAGTGAGGCATGGGGGAGGGCGGGGCAGAGATAGCCTAGAGATAGGGAAAGGCATATGGGGGGGCAGAGATAGCCTAGAGATCAGGAAAGAAACAGATCGGGAAGTGAGGCATCAGAGAGAGCCTACAGATCAGGGAAATGAGGCATATGGGGGCAGAGACAGCCTACAGATCATCGAAGTGAGGCATGGGGGCAAAAGATAGCCTGCAGATCATCAAAGTGAGGCATGGGGGGCAGAGATAGCCTACAGATCAGGGAAGTGAGGCATGGGGGGCAGAGATAGCCTATAGATCAGGTAAGTGAGGGATGGGGGGAGACAGCCTATAGATCAGGTAAGTGAGGGATGTGGGAGACAGCCTATAGATCAGGTAAGTGAGGGATGGGGGAGAGACAGCCCATAGATCAGGTAAGTGAGGGATGGGGGGGAGACAGCCTATAGATCAGGTAAGTAAGAGATGGGGGAGGTAAAGTAAGAGAAGGAGCAGAAAGGAAAAGGAAGGAGCAGAAAGGAGAAGGAATAGAAATGAGAAGAAAGGGGCAGCAAGGATCTGGAATGGACAGCAATGAGCACAACAGGTAAAAGTAGGAGAAGGAGCACAAAGGAACACAAATGAGCAGGAAGGGGTAGCAAGGAACAGGAAGGAG